AATTTTTTTTTTTGTGTGTGAATTTATTTATTTATTTTTAGCTCCCACCAATAACTGAGAACATGTGGTATTTCTCTTTCTGTGCCTGACTCGTTTCACTTAATATAATTCTCTAAAGGTTTATCCATGTTGTTGCAAATGTCTGCCTTTCTCTTTCTGTGGCACTGTGAGAGTCTGGAGAGTAGCAACCAGGTTTAGTTCATCCACTATACCCCCTGGGGGTTCATGGGTGGGATGGGTGCGGTGGGAGGATCAAGGGGTGATGGCAGATGCTCTCCCAACCCTGTAGGTTTATCAACTCAGTATGTTGTGAATGGGGAAAACTGACATCTTCCTCCCAACAAAGTGGAGAGAAACAGAGAGAGGCAGAAGCTGTTTTATTTGAGGAGTGAAGGGCAGACAGGAAACTCCAGGTGGCTAATCTTCATGCACAGAGAGGGGACACTGTATTGTGCAGTGCTCTCAGGCCATCTTCCTGCTCATCCCTTGTTTGGCAGAAGTCTGCCTTGGGATCTTCATGTGATGAGCCTGACCTGTTGCCCCCAATCCCCGGAAATAGATATCTGTGACACTCCTCTGGAACCTCAGGGCACAGGAACTATAGCCGGGCATGCCAGACTGCCTGGGCTCAAATCCAGCCTTGCCAGGAACTAGCTGGGTGTCCTCGGGCCAGTCATTTCATGGCTTTGAGCCTCAGTCTCCTCATCTGATAACAGGAATAATGGTGGAACCCACCTCATAGGACTGTGATGAGGCTTAGGAAAATGCATGCAAAGTTTTAGCACAGTCCCTGGCAGAGAGTGATGTGCAATAAATAGTAGTTATTATTACTATTTTATCAAAACACCTGGGATCTAGTCCCAGTTCTGCCACTGCTTTCCTCTCTGGGCCTGCCTGAGTTTCTGTTTATAAAACGAGGTGTTGAAAGATTTAATGACTAAAGGATGCCAGAGAGGCTTCCAGATGAGTGATTACCTCTGCCCTGCAAGGCTCACTTCCCAGGGGCTGCAGGGGGTTGTCACCCCCACTCTGTCAGGTCTTTACTGAGTTCTCTGTCCAGGCAGGACCTGCTGCCCGCAGTGCCAGCCCATCTGCTCACAAGGCAGAATGAGAGGAAAAGGCTGGGATTGCCTCAGCAGGGACTGTGGTTAGACAGGACGAAGGACTTCCTTCCTGGCTGCAGGATGCTGCCCTAGGAAGGGGCCAGAGGTCGTGGGACGGATGCCGCTAGAGGGAGGGGAATGGCTAGGCCCAGATGGTTAGGCCAGAGTTGGCCAGTGGAGCAAATCAGCTAGGCAGTGACCTCACTTCCAGAGACCCTGAAAGCGCCCTCTTTTTTTTTTTTTTTTTTAAAAAGATGACCGGTAAGGGGATCTCAACCCTCGACTTGGTGTTGTCAGCACCACGCTCACCCAGTGAGCGAACCGGCCATCCCTATATGGGATCCGAACCCGTGGCCTTGGTGTTATCAGCACCGCACTCTACCGAGTGAGCCACAGGCCGGCCCAAAAGCGCCCTCTTTAAACCTTTTCCAGGGCTCCCAAGATCACAGAGACAATAGGCAGGAACAAAGACACAGCAACACCGATTCTCCAGGACAGAGGGACAGAGGCAAGGGGTCACCAACTAGACATATGCTGCTGCCTTCACCCAGAACACTCTTCCCAGGGTCTGGAAGTGGCCGACCCCTTCAGGCCTAGTTTAAGACTTACCTCCTCAGAGAGGCCCTCCTGACCAACCTATGCATTCATTCAACATTTACTGAGCCCCAGCTATATGTCAGGCGCTGTTCTCGATCTGTGAACAAGAAAAAGTCCCTGCCTCGTCCCATATAAAGTAGCAGCTGTCTCACCCCTGTTCTTCTCAGACACAACACACTTTATCTCTGACCCCTTTTTCTGGCCCATCCCCCCACCAGAAAGTAAGCACCGCGAGGGCAGAAACCTCAACGGTTTATTTCACTAGTGTGAACCCAGTGACTTAACCAAGTGTGTAATCCTAGCACTAACCACCAAAATAGGCCCTTCATAAATATTCATTGAATAAATCAGTGCACACAGAGATCAGAGATCGAAGGACACAGGGAAACAGCGTCCTCAGAAGCGGACACAGACTTTTAGAGATGCACGAAAGTGTAAGAACACAGACACGCACAGCATGATCGCCGCCAGTGTCCTTCAAGCCGACCGGAGCCTTCCTTCCCTTTGGTCATTCTGCTTGGCCACTAAGCCCGGGGCTGGACTCACCCTTGCCCTGGGGGTGACCCAGGAAGTGCCGAAGATAATGATCTATCCTGGTCCCTGCACTCCCTGCGCCACGCACAGAGCTGGCATTACGTTTGAGGGGCCCTATTTGAGACTCGTCTACTTTACTTTTTTGGGTGTCTTCTGATGAATAGAAATTTCAATTTAGTCACATCTATCAGTCTTTCCAAAAATATATTTGTGGTGGTCCGGGAAGGGCAGGGATGACTAACCCCGCAGAGACCCACTCCCGGCCCGCGGGGCCCCTCCCGCTGCCGCTCAACCCCGGCGGGCCCTGCAGGACCGAAAGCCAAGGCTGCGGCAGAACCACCTGGTGCCCAGGCCTCGCCCTTCCCCCACACCTGCACCGAGGCCCCGCCCACGACCCGCCCCTCGGCGAGGCCCCGCCCCTCGCCGGCTGTCACGGGCGTAAGGGAGCTAGGTGTCTCTTCCTCTTGCCCAGGAATTGGTAGTTAATATTCTACCACCGGTTCTTCCACCTGTAGGGATGGGAAATTTCAGGCAGACAGGATGGGGACAAGGCTCCCCCGCTCGCCCGGTCCACGCCCACTCCGCCTCGCCCCTCCCCCAGCTCTCAGTCGCCCTCAGGCCCCGCCCACCCAGTTCCGCCCCTCCTCCCGCTCCCAGGCCCTGGTCCTCGGCGCTGCGGATCCGCCTCCTCCTGGGCCCCGTCCCTGCGCGCGCTCACATGAGGCGCGAGCGCGCACTGTAGCTGCTGGGCCAGCGCGCCTAGGGCACTTGCGCTAGGTTGGTGGCCACCGGCCGCAGCAGCAGCAGGTTGCGCGCGGGCCAGCGCCAGGCAGCGCCCCGCGGGCGGCGGCGCTGCGGACCCGGCCAGTAGTTACCCAGGCTGCGGCGGGAGGCGGGCGCCGGCAAGGCCAGACCCCGGGAGCCACAGAAACACAACTCTTGGTCCAGGCGGTGCGGGATTGTGGCCCGGGGCCGCCTGCGGAGGAGATGGAGCAGTGGTTACCCCAGGGGGGCACGACAGGCGGAGAGGAGGGAACCGCCTCGGATCGACAAGGCGGGCCGCGGGAGAGGTCATTCCTGGTCGATTTACGGGGACGGAAGGGGGATTGGAGGCCCCCACCCGGGCCTTCCCGAGGACCTGGGCGTTCTCCCCTCCCCCACCAGACCAGGGCCGTTTATCCTGCCTCTCCCTTCCTTGGGCCCCCTCACCGGGACAGAAGAAAATTCACCACGAAGTGGGCAGTCTCAGTGAATAGCATGGTGTCCATCCCGCCTGGCCTGGCTTCGAACTCTTTAATACCTGCCCGGACTTGGAGGGGGGACCTGAAAGCCCATAGTCCCCCCCGGGCCCTGCCGGCTGTTTTTATCAGAAGCGTCAGCTGGCAGAGGGGGGTGGGGGCAGAGCTGATCTCTGGCCCGTGGTCTGCCTTCACCAGCCGCTTCAATGGGAGGGGGCTAGTCACCAGCTCTCCAATTTTCCCAGAGACATTCCCCCCCAGGGCCGAGGGCAGAAGTGCAAGGACAGGCAGAGGCAGCAAGAGGTCCTGAGGGCAAGAAGGTCAGCTGCTCAATGGAGAAACCCTTCCCCACCCAACCCAGGGGCCTCCAGCCTGGACTCACAAACCGCTGTTGTGCTCAGGCAGGACCCACACCTCAAAGGGCCTCCCTTATCCCAGGCTTAGGAACCCCCACCCCCACTTCTGTTTCCCATGGCCCTTACAGTAACCTTTTCCCTAACCTGGGGCAGCCAGTTCTAGTTCAGGAGTTTTTTGTTTGTTTTTTAAATTTTTAATTGAAACATAATTGAGTGTGCGCATTTACGGGGTACGGAGTGGAGTTGACAGTATTTGTGTACAATATGTGATGATCAAACCAAGGAATTCTTATCTGGAGATTGTGGATGAGCTGCTGGGGCTCCAGGACCCCTAAACTATCTGCAAAGTTCCAAACACATGTATTTCTGGAAATAATCTAGAAAGGATCCCTGACACCTACCCCCAACCCTCAAAAAAGCTAAAAGTCCTTAATCTGGTCTAACCCACACTTTTTTTTTTTTTTTTTTCAAAAGATGACCGGTAAGGGGATCTTAACCCTTGACTTGGCGTTATCAGCACCACGCTCTCCTGAGTGAGCCACGGGCCGGCCCTAACCCATGCTTTTTTGAAGAAAGGGAAACTGAGGTTCAGAGAGGAGCAGAGAAAAGCTAAAAGTAAAACCCAGACTTCCTACTACTCTGCCTGCCCTTACAAGGGGTGAGACAACCCTTCTGTGCCCTGTACTGCTCAGACCATGGAGTTCGGGCTCAGGGCTCAGAGCCTAGTCTGGACATCCTGAGGAATGGTGCTGGCCCAGCTCCCTTTCCCACACTGCCAGTTTGGGTTATTTCACCCCCAGTGACTCACACTGGCTGCCAGGAAGAGTGGGCAGCTGTTCTGAGCCCCCAGAGCCCAGTACAGGCCTTGACTTGCCCGCACCCAATTGTGCAGCCATTTTGGGACCTAATCTCCTCTTTCTCCTCCTCGGGGAATGTCCCTCCCCTAATCCCATCCTCTTTCCCCTGTCTTCGCCCTTTCCCTCCCTGATGGCTCCTTCCCATCCGCAAACAAGCAGGCTCTAGTCTTTCCTATCTTTGAAAAAAAGCCCTCCATCAACCCCACATCCTTCTCCAGCTCCCCTTCACAGCCTGCATTCTTGAAAGACTTGTTTCCACTTCCTCACTGAACCCCTGCAATCTGCTTCCTCCCCCACCATTCCACAGGAACAGCTTGTCAAGGTCGCTGCTGACTTTGTTGCTAACTCCAAGGGATGCTTAGGAGTCTTTATCTGACTTAGTCCTTAGCAGTGGCTGACTTGGACACAGTTGAATACTCCCTCCTGCTTGAGATACTTTTGGGCCCTTGTTCTTCTGGACACTGTGTGCTCTTGATTTTCTCGCTATGTATCTTACCGGTTGCTGCTACATGGCAAATTTCTCAGCCTTTGCTCACTGCCTAATCATGGTTGCTCCTGCACCCTCTACAGTCTGTACCAGGGGAATCTCATCGGGTCCCAGGCCTTCCGTGTCCAGCCTGTGTCAGGGACTCCCTTCTCTCTTTCAGCCCAGTCCTCTCTCCCCCAGCCCCCTCACCCTTGCCTTCTGGACTCCTCCCACTGGATGTCCCACTTCACAGGAAACATGCCCTACAACTGCCCCCCTTTCCATGTCCCCCAGCTTGGCCATTTTCCAGTTGGTTGAACCTGAGATCTGAGCTTGGTTCTAGACACTGCCCTCTCGCTTTGCACATTCAAGCGGCTACGAAATCCTGTCTTCTCCAGGACATATCTAAAATCCCATTGTTTCTCTCCACTTCCACTACTGATACCTGGCCAAGGCCCCATCACCATTCACGTGAGAGGCTGCAACAGGCCCTGGCTCTCCCTGCTGCTGCTCTCCACCCCTACATGGTGTGTTCCCACAGGGCAGCCAGGGTTGTCTTTCCAAAGCATGTCCCCCTGCACAGTGTCTTCAGCACCAAGTTTACCCATGGCACATACTAGTCCCAGTGCCAGACATTTGCCACTCCACGTCTTTGCTTGGGTAACTGCTTCTCATCCGTCAGTTTAAGTGGCAGTTCTTTCTGAGAGCCACTCCCAATCAAGCATTCATTAGCTTGCCTAGTCTGCAGACTCCTGAGCATTCCCATTGTAGGCCCTGGGGATGGAAGGATGAATATGGTCCAGCCCCTGCCCTCAGGGAGTCTATAGTGTAATGGGGAAGACAGGTAGTAAACAGGGATCAAAGACTAGATATGTCACAGAAGGCTGTATGATGGGACAAGCAGGTGCTAGGGGAAGGGGTACATGGGTGGTCAGGGAGCCTTCTTGGAGAAGTGACAATTAGTGGAGATCAGAGGGGTCAGTGGGGTTGGGAGGGAAGCTATTCCAGGCAGAAGGAACAGTATGTTTAAAGATGGGAATGTGGCTGGACCACTGATGTGAAGAAACCATTGATGAGATTTCAATAGGAAGTGACACGGCTGGGTTTGTGGCCTTTATAAAACAATGCTGGTTTGGAGGAATCAAGTGAGGGAGGAAGCAGGAAGACTGGGTGCAGGTAGCTGGAGTCATCAGCTGAGTAGCGGTGGGGCTTGACTCAGGGCGGTGAAGGTGGAACTGGGGCAGAGTGAACGGTTGCCTGGACTGGGGGTCGGGCGGCAGGGAAGAGGGAGGGAGTGAGAATGATTCTGGTCCTCCTCCCCCAGGAGTGATGGAGGGGAGGGCAGTGGGAGCTGGACCACATCCCCGTGGTGTCCAGCCCCTGTTCTACCTGGTGTTAGCTTGTCTGATGTCTTCCTATGGTCCCTCATCCATCCTTTTTCTTAGAGGAGCAGATGGAGGCCCTAGAGAAGGAAGGCTGCTAAAAAGGCCCAGGATGAGGCAGAGGGGAGGAGAAAGGGGTAGAGTCCGGATGTGGGTTTCAGGGAAAGTGGCATCTGGAGTTTCCTCAGAGTCTGGAAATTCCTCTGTCTCTGGCTCCTCCCTGAGACCCCCAAATCCTAGATGCTCAAGCCCTGGGGCCCAGTCCTTGTAAGTCCTGGGGGCTTTCTAGGGTCTATATGTCTATATGTGAAAGGCCACAATCTCCTGACAAATCCCAAGGTGGTAAGCAGGACTCTTGACGGTCCCTAACATCAGTGTGCACTTCTTCTGAGCCGGTCCCAATGCCTGTTACCTGCATGATCCCATGTAATCCTCAGTGATCCCTGGAGACTCATAGCTTATTTATCCCCACTATGAGAGTTTAAGGGGTTAAGGAACTTGCTCAGATTCACACAGCTAGGATGAGGCAGAGCGAGGATTTGAACCAAGGTTTGAATGACATCAGAGTCTGTGCTTTTAACTCCTGTGCTATATTAAGCCTGTCGACCCCTGGCTGATTGGCTCAGTAAGGGGAGGAGGCTTTGTGGGGGATTTGCTTGTGGCTGGGGTGGCTGCCCCCGTCTCATATCAAGCGATGGGAAAGGGTAGTGCTGACGTCAGTTATTGCCATGGCGATTTAGCAACCCTTTCTCTGCCATCTCCATGGTAACCTGGGGGTCCATCTGTACTTCGCCCTCTCCTTCTAAAAGGGGGTCCCTTAGGGAGGGGCTGGCTAATAAGGTATCTGAGGGAGAAATCAGGGAAGGCAGTGATTTGAGCATCCCCTTTTCCCTGGCCGCTCCCCATTCCTCAGGCCCAGAGAATAAGGCCGGAATCTGAGAGTCCCGCAATTGGGTTTAGGGACAGCTTTACCATTTAGGGTGAGAGAGTCAGCTCTGCCTTTCCCACCTGGAGATTTCCCTGGAAATAGCCCCCCACCCTCTGCCAAGTTCTCAAGCTCCTGAGCAGAACTGCTGGGAGGTTGGCAGAGACAGACAAGAGGGTTTTCCTAGCTCCCTCCAGGGCTGGACATCACCCAGCCCCTGGGGACAGTGTCCTTGGCCGACTGGCTCTCTGCTGCCCCTCAAAGCCAAAGGTAGGAGCAGCAGCAGTAGCAGCCTCTCTTGCTTATTAAGTACTAAGCGGTGCCAGGGATTTCTAGCTGGTGCTGTACGCGCATGACCTTACTAAAACCTTCCAGCAGGTGTCATTAACCCCATCTTACAGAATTGGAAATTGAAGTTCAGAGAGGCTAAGTAACTAGCCTAAGGTTGCGCAGTTAGTAAAGGATAGAGTCAGGACTTGAACTCAGGGCTAGAGTGGCAGTGGCTTTTCCTGGGGGAAAGAGGAAAAAGAAACAGAGAACAGGGGCCGGCCCGGTGGAGCACTGGATAGTGTGCCGCTTGAGAGCGCGGCGGAGCTCCCGCCAAGGGTTCGGATCCCATGTGGAGATCGGTTCCGCTCACTGGCTGAGCACGGAGCGGGCGCAACACCGAGGGTTGTGATCCCGTTTCCGGTCAGTAAAAAAGACAAAAAGGAAAAAAAAAAAAGAAACAGAGAACAGGATGGAAGGGGAAAGGAGAAATAGGAGAGTGAAGTGACCCAGGTTGGAGCCTGTCATACTCCCTCATCACCTACAGAACAAAGTTCAAACTCCTTAGCCTGCTACTTGAAGGCCTCCTCGAATGACCTTCTCTTTGGTTAACCCATCCCTGGACCCCCTGCATTCTGAGCTCTGCAGGGTAGGGACCCGTCAGATTCAGGCCTGGGTTTTCAGCACCTGGTATGGCCCAGGTAGATGTTGGTGAAAATCAATTGAACCTAATTCTTTGAACTTACCCTCCACTTTCCTGCCTCCAGGCCTTTACCTACAATGTTCCCTCCACCTGGAATGCACTTTCCCTTTGCTCTTTGCTAATGGACATTATATAGCTAACTAGCCCCAGGGTCTGGCTCACTGGCAAGGTCTGTGTGTCTGGAATCTTTGCTTCCCTCACAAACCAAGCATGTGGGAGGAAGCAGTAATTCTTTTTTTTTAAAGGAAAGGAGGGTTGAGAAGATGGGAGAAAGGAAGTGAAGTTTATGAAAGGAGAAAAAGGCAGAGTGGGAAGGATTCAGCATTTTAGAGCTGGCACGGCCCATAGATAACAGCTGGTGCCCTTTTTTTTTCCAGTGAGGAAATGGTCCCTTTTAATAAGCCTCCTACATTTGGGACTGCCTGGGGGAATATTTTGGGTGGAAATTGAGAAGCGTATCCCTTTTGGGTGACTGTGGGATTCTGAAATGCTCTAGGGAGGACTTGGACTTCTAACTCCATGTGAACTAGGGGAGGGGTGTCGAGTCAATTGTACTTAGACATCAGGGGACAGAAGACTGAAACTGACCTTTGGGTCATTTTTTCTAATATAAAAATAACACAGGCTCATTAAAGCAAAAGTGGAAAATAGTTGTTTAGCTTAAATACCATCACTTTGAGGCAGCCTTCTCGTTATGGTCCCCTCCCATTGATGGATTGAGGGCGTGTAGTTTGAGGATCACACTGAGGAGTGTACTAGCATCATCTATCATGTGGGGGACCCTGGACGAGTCCGTTAAGGTTCAGTTCCCTTTCCTTAAAAATAGGAAATTAAAGATTTTTAAATGACCTCTTCCCCAATCTTTTTGATTCCACTAGTCTTAGCAGCAACCAAGGCTCAAGATGGACTGGAGCAGCCCCTAACCCCTCCAAAAAAGCCAGAGGTTCCCAAGGTCAAAAAGGGCAAGTAGCAGAACCTAATTCCAGCTTGGGAGAATTAAACAGGCCTGGTGTGGGCGGCCTCTCTCTTTATTCTAAGTTGTCTGTCCACCTGTCCCTCCAGTCCAGAGCTCCTGTGTGTCTCCAAGCGTCCAGCACAGTAATGTGAATTTCATTGGAGAGCCGAGGGGAGGGACAGGGAGATGTCTGAGGGCAGGGTCCGAGGGAAAAGGCTGCCCGGAAGGGGTCATGAGCAGCAAGAAATGAGTGGAGGAGGGTGTTGCTGGGCAAGAGCGAGGCGGCCCAGAAGGCAGAAGGCGGAAGGCGGGCGCCTAAGGGCTGGGTCCAAGTGAGGAGGCAGCGGACGGTAAAGTATTATTGGATGGGGGAGTAGCTGGTGGGCCCGGTTCGACAGATATACACGGCCAGCCAGGAGTGGAAAGAACAGTTTATGCTGTGCTTTATTAAAATGTGCATCATTCTTTTATTTAAAAATGTGCATCATTGTCTCGTGCTCGGCGCGTGCGACCTCCGCGTGGTGGCCCAAGGCGGGCCTCGTCCCCGCCCGGCTCCTGCGGAGCCGCCGTGCGCAGGTGCACTCAGGTGGCCCGGGCCCGGGGGCTCCCGCCCATGGCCAGGTAGACGTCGATGGGCACGTGCAGCAGCGTCAGACAGTGGCAGCCGGGGCAGCGTCGAAGCGGCCTAAGGAAAGCCGGCACGACAAGGGGCGCTTAGAAGGGGGCCCGGCCCATCCCGTTGGGGTCCCCGGGGATCCGGACGTGGATGTGAGACCTTGCAGCTGAGGGACCCTGGAGATGGAGAGTGGGACGGAGGACGGGGCAGGGAGTGCGGGGCGGGGGCGCGGCTTCACCTGACCCGGTTGTGCTCCGTAGCTGCCGGCTCCGGGCTGTCTTGGGACTCGGGGGCGGCGGCAAGACCCGGGGAGTCTCCAGCCTCAATGGGGAATCTCCGACCTTGCGGAGGCTCCTGGGCACTCATGTCCAGGCCCCGGGACGCTCTGCACAAGGAGTGCCGGTCAGGCCGCTCCCGGGCCGCAGGGCGCCCGCTCCTCGCGGCCCCCCCCTCTGGATCGTTGCTCACTTGCCGGAGGCCGGAGACTGGAGGCCGGGGCCGGTCCCAGGGTGGAGGCAGCTACCCGAGCCCTGGCCGCGGAAGGATGCTCCGGTCCAGGTGGAGCCGGGCAGGTGTCTGCCGCGCGCTCGGCCCAGGCGTCTAGGGGGAGGGCTGCATTGTGACCCGGGCTGCGGCGCGCTGACCTCATAGAGCCCATGCTGCCCTCGGTTGCCGCAGCCCTTAGCGCGAGCCGGAGCTGGGAGCCACAGGGCTCTCGCCATGGAGCCTTGGGACCGGGGCGCGCAGCCCTCCAGCCGCCCGATGGGGGCTCAGGCGGCGTCCCCGCGGAGGAGCCCGGCATCCCCGGCCCACGCAGGCACCCCGCAGCCCCCTCCCAGGCCGGCTGAGACTCACTGCCTGGCGCGGGGGCGGGGGCGGCGGTGACTTAACCTGCGCGGGGGGTATGGCGGTGGTAGTGGTGAGGGCAGGTGGGGGCACTGCCCTTTTTGGCCAAGGGTCACACAACATCTACATCACAATTGGGCCAGAGTTTTAAAATGTCTGGCCCTGTCCCTCCCCACCACCTGCGGCTGTGTTCAGACGGAGAATGTCCTAGCGCTGGGGGCGGCTGTGGATGAAGTCCTTGGGGGGAAAAGAAGCGGGCCAAGGGTGATGGTGGAGTAGAGCTGCCTCGCCGAGGCAGCATGAGCTGAGAGAGTGATAGGAAAGAAGGAGGCGCTAGACAGCATGGAGGACTTTCTGCTCTCCAATGGGTACCAGCTGGGCAAGACCATTGGGGAAGGGACCTACTCAAAAGTCAAGGAAGCACTTTCCAAAAAACACCAAAGAAAAGTAGCAATTAAAATTATAGACAAGATGGGAGGGCCAGAAGGTGAGCTGGGGCCCCTTTGGAGGAAGGGAGGGCTGGCTGAGGTGGGTGGGTGCTTCCTCCAGTCAGAAAGATCATTCCCTCCTTCCCTTTAGTTTGGCAGTAAGGAAGGCAAACCAGATTAGAACTGGGAGCTGGGGAGGAGTGTGTGTCATGGGAGACCAGAGTGATACTGGGAGCCCAGGGACTTCACACACTTCAAAACCCAAGGTTAAGTGGCACAAGGTGAAGGGTCCTCAGAGACAGAACCCAAGTTGGCCAGGCTTTTCCTATTCCAGGAGAACAGACTAGCAGAAAGGCGGCAGCCAGGGCTAGCTGAGGGCAGAAGCTGGTGCCAAGGCAGGTGGACATGGGAAAAGGGCTCATAGTAGAACTGTGAAGGCAGGGGTGGGAGGAGCTGGCTCACCACCCTGTGGACATATCAGATCTCAGAGCTAAGATTCAATGGCTTTGTGTAAAAGTCCCAGAAGCACCTAGATATGTGTGGTCTCAGACTGCTTGCAACAGTCCCCGAGGTTGGCAGGGAGTAGTTCCTTTGAATAATATATTAACTATAAAAATAGAAGTAAACATTTTTTACAATGTCCAAGCAGCTAGACACATTTAAGACCATTAAGGGAGCCAAGGAACAAAACAAAGATGTGGTGGGCCAACCGAAGTTGGAAGCTGGAGACAGGAGTGAGGAGTTAGGCCCAGGCCCTTCTGATCTTGAGAACCCATCTCTCCTTCCTTTGTTTCCTCAGAGTTTATCCAGAGATTCCTGCCTCGGGAGCTCCAGATCATCCGTACCCTGGACCACAAGAACATCATCCAGGTGTATGAGATGCTGGAGTCTGCTGACGGGAAAATCTACCTGGTGATGGAGCTGGCTGAGGGAGGGGATGTCTTTGATTGTGTGCTGAATGGGGGGCCCCTGCCTGAGAGCCAGGCCAAGGCCCTCTTCCGTCAGATGGTAGAGGCCGTCTGCTACTGCCATGGCTGTGGTGTGGCCCACCGGGACCTCAAGTGTGAGAATGCCTTGTTGCAGGGCTTGAACCTGAAGCTGACTGACTTTGGCTTCGCTAAGGTGTTGCCCACGTCACGTCGGGAGCTGAGCAAGACCTTCTGCGGCAGCACAGCCTATGCCGCCCCCGAGGTGCTGCAGGGTATTCCTCACGATAGCAAGAAGGGCGACGTCTGGAGCATGGGTGTGGTCCTGTACGTCATGCTCTGTGCCAGCCTACCTTTTGACGACACAGACATTCCCAAGATGCTGTGGCAACAGCAGAAGGGGGTGTCCTTCCCCACTCACCTGGGCATCTCGGCCGAATGCCAGGACCTGCTCAAGCGGCTTCTGGAACCAGATATGATCCTCCGGCCTTCAGTTGAAGAAGTTAGTTGGCATCCATGGCTAGCAAGCACTTGATAAAAGCAATGGCAAGTCCTCCCCAATAAAGCAGGGGGAGAAAGCAAACCCAAAAACCCGCTTCTAGAATGGTGGTATATGTTTTACACTTTAAGTTTACTTATCCTAAAACTTACCTACACCCTCCCCAGCCTTACTACTCTTTCCCTTTAAAGATCTTCATGGAACCAAAGGGCCTCATTCAGACTTCCCTTTTATTGTTGCTGAAAAGTGGTTTTCATACAGGTGTTTAAAGTTAATGAAAACAGATCTCAGAATCATACAAAGGGGAGGAACAGAGAGGAGAAAAATGACCAAGAGCAATTGGAACCATTGTTGTCACAACTTCCTTTCCAAATAAAAGCAGAAGTGCTGGGAATGCAGAAACGGCCTCCTGACTCCTTGTCCTGTTGAGAGTCCTGTTGAGGCCCTGTCCCCTTCTCATCCTGAAGGCCAACCTAAGTCTAGGATGAGGACAAGGGACTTCCTCAGGATCCAGGCATCCCCTGCCACCCCTGTGCAGTGTGTGCGTCCTGCCCTGGCTCCAGTGCAGCTGCCGTGGGGGACAAAAACAGATCCCCAGACACCTTCCAGCTTCAGTTGAATCTCTTTAATGCTGTTAACAGCAAGTCTGTAAAAGGTTCAGGACAAAGTTCTTTTTTCTTTTTTAATTATAAAAGTAACAGCTATTAGAATCTTTTTTCTTCTTTTTTTTTTTTTTTTTCCTTTTTTCTTTTCCCACTACAAAATACTCTGGGGAAATGCATTATAATTTAAAATATATAATATTGCACAAACAACCAAAAGGTTAATTAAACTAAAGAAATAATTATAAAGAGAAAAACCCCATCCCATCAAAAAAAGATTCAGCATTCTCTCCATCCCACCCCCTCACTGAATGTTTGAAGTGGAAGTGACCACCTCTCTCCTGCGTCCCTGACCACGATCCCTTTAAATCACTGGTGAACACACCAGATTATGTACAAGAATCACCAGAGCAGCATCATGAAGCACCAGGGTCTCCAGGGATTCCTGCAGCCCCTCATTCCCCCAAGAGAGGTGCTGCTTAACCAGAGTGGAGGGGGAAAGCCACAAAGGCTGGGTTTGTCTTCAAGAAGAGCTTTTGCAGAAGCCTGATAAGGTTCTCAAGAACTTCACTCCCAGCATGTCCCTTCAAGAAGCAGAAGGACTGAGGTGGAGAAGCTGGGCTTACCAGAGTTGTAAGTACTTGGCTTTGATCACTGCTCTGTACTGCTGGTAGCTGGCTCATGTCCTAAGCTACAGGGAAGTCGAGGTGGGTAGCTGGTTGGATAAGGTAACCTCCCAGGCAATACACAGAAGGGCCTGAAGTGGCCCCCTCCTTTCTTGGGGAGGGGAAGAAATGCAAGAATGGACTCTTGCAGGTGGCACAGCTGGGCTAAGGACTTGGGTGCATCTGACATGAAGAAGCCCTAGGAAAGGCATGGGGATGTACCAGTGTGGGCTGGAGAAAAGGAAGGAGGCAGATCAGGGTTTGGTCTCTAGATTCTGAACCCCAGGGAAACTTTCCAGGAATGGAAAATGCCTGGAAGGGGGAGATTCCCAAGAGAAGCAAATTTCCCAGAGATGAGTGCCTCTTACCCACTGAGATAGGAACCAAAATGTGCTCACTGTCCCTGTTTAGCCAAGGGCAGATGGCATGGCCATCCTTGCCTGCTTATGGGTGGATAGACTGTGTTGTCTTAGCTTCCTCCAAGAGAATGGTGGTTTAGCTTCAGTCTACACAGGCAGAAGGGCCAGAACCATCCCTTGGGACTTCCCAGCAGGAGTCCCCAGGAACAGTGGGTGTTCAGAAAGTAGGCTCTTCCGGTGAGGGGTTAGGTTTCCTCCCCCTTAGGTCATCCTATGGTTGGCACAAGTCAGAGTCCTGGTTTGGATTTATAGCCCCTTCTCAGGTGTGAGCACAGGCCCAAAGGGCCACCAGGGAGCCACCCAGAATCTGTGCCCAGAGCTCTGGTTGGCAGACGCCATTAGGGGGACATTCTCAGTCAGTGTCTTCCAGGGCCAGGCTGAGACGAGTGAGGGAGATGGGAGGTGCGCGGGCGGGGGAGCTGCTTGCTCTAGCTCCTCTCATTCCCAGTCCTCCCACTCTACATCTTCCAGCTGCAAATGGGAGGGGATAAATGGAGAGCACAAATATTTACTCCTTTGAGTCAAATCCAGACCCAACCTCCCCTTGCTGAACAGAGCTGCCTCCATTTTTAGACAGCTGCCCCCCACCTCACAAATCATCCATGCTGAGCCTTACCCAGCCCCCACTATGCAAGTGAACCCCTACTATTGAGGAATGCATCTGGGGAACAGAGATGGCCTCTCCCTGAGGGGTGGGCCTGTTGTTTGATTGTTTCAGACCCAAAGGAAATGCTTCCACCAGCCAACACCAGACACTATAAGGGGATGCCCTGTGCACAGGAATCACATCAGTCAATCCTTTAAGGATAAATTATCTCCTGCTGGGCAGATAAGACCATGGCTCCGAGAGGCAGAGGAGGTGAGAATGTCACTGTGATCAAAAGCAGGGGTGGCAGTGGACTACAAGTGCTCATAAGGTCTTCCCTAGGGGCTCCAGCACCCTAATTCTCAGGGAACTTTCTACTGGCCTGTGTCAGCAGATCCCTGGTATGATGGATTACAGAATGACTCTGCTCAAGTATACCACATGTGAGGTTTTAAAGAGGGCCACAAAGACAGAAAAAGTCAGCAAGCCTTGCCTGGCATCATAGGGCACCAAAGACCTCCTCTGCCCTGGATATAGTTAGGTCACAGGTGCAAAATACCTGAGTAGGTTACTACCTCTCCCAAGGCTTCAGTTTCCCAGTTTGAAAAACCAGGCCCTTCACGTGTCTCTCTAACCTGTCCACCTCTCTATAGCAGGTTCCTGAGTTATACGATGGAAGGAATCATGTGGCTCTTGTGTGACCATGGAGGCAGCACTGACTTGAAGTGGATATCTGGGCTAGAGCTTCAGTCCTGTCATTTATTTGCTATGAGAGCTTTAGATTGTTCCTTTCATTTGAAAGGGTCCAACTCTGATTCTGGGAGGTGGTGAAAAATGAGAGTAATAAGGCCTCTTTGAGCTTAGTAACTGGAATGGGTTTGTGGTGTTGTCACTATTGTCTATAGAGTGCTGCCACGTCCCAGACACTACACCTAATGTGTCTACATGCATTGCCTCATTACAGCTTACAAGCCAGGTTTATAATGATCAATTCCATGTTTCAGATGAGAAAACAGAGCCTCAGGTTAAGGGACTTGACCTCGATCACACTGGTCTTTTGTCTCCAAGGACAGGAATCTGCTCAGGTCCCACACCTGGGAACCATGAGTCAGAAGGTCAGGGGCAGGGTTTTGCATCTGTATTTTTAAATAGATCCTCAAGTGATTCTGACAGAGCTAAGGTCAAGAACTCTCCCATCTACCCACCCTGGAACTGAGAGGAAGCAAAGCCTGCTGATGACAACTGCTATGGCCCTGAGTGGGAGGCCCCAGCTCCCTTCCTGCAGCCTGCCACCTCAGATAGGAGCAGGGATCCCCCCCTAAGGGGACAGCTGAGTTTGGTGGGGAAGAGTTCTCAGATGCTAGGATCGCTAGGCTTGCTTCCCTCTGGCCAGCCAGGCCCACTTACCTCACCGGAGGCATCCACTTTGGAAAGTGCCATCTGCACTTCTTCTTCAGTCATGTCCAAGTCAAAGTCCTTCTCCCAGTCCTCACTGATGTCCGTGCTTGAGCCTGGAACCATAAGCCACAGTGTGAAAGGCAGCAGGGGGATGGGTTCTTGAAGAGGATGTAGCTGGGGGTGATGGCATTCTTTAAAAGGGCCTGACAAATACACATCACAAGTTTTCACATTCTATTTTCATTCTGGCTCAGCCATCCCACTCTTAAGAACCCATTCTAAGGAAAAATCGTGGATTCAGAAAAAAACTTTAATCAAAAGGGTGTTCACTGTAGTGCTGTTATAGTGATGAAAACTTCAAAGAAACCTGAGTCCACTGATAGGGAATCAGAAAAATAAATAAATGGTGTAGTTACATGACAGAACATTTTGTGGCTTCTAAAGGTTAGGCTGTGGAAAAACTTTATACCTATGGCAAAAGTCTTAAACTATTGAGAAAAGGCAGGTTACTAAAAAGTGGAGAAGCACTTTGGCCCAGAGGCTTCCAGGGAGCCACAGAAATCTCCCAGAAGAAATAAACAATGAACCTCTTCTTGCTCACTCAGTCCATTCTTCCTACACTGATCTTGCTCCTCCTGAAACACACCAGGCACATTCTCACCATAGGGCCTTGGCATGGTCTGTTCTCTGCACCCGGAACTCTCTTCCTCACATACCCACAAGGCTGATTTCTTCGCCTTTTCAGGCCTTTGCTCACATCTCACCTTCTGAATGTGGCCTACCCTATTTTAAATTGCAGCCCATCTTCTCACTCAGCTCTAGTTGTTCTTTTTTCCGTCTATCACTTTCTACCATATTACATAATCTGACTTAATGTGCTTATCGTCTAATAACAGAGGAACTACAATGTGAGCTCCATGAGGGCAAGGATCTTTGGTTTTCTTATGAATTCCAAGTGACTAGAACACAGAGTTGGCACTCAATAAACATTCCTACACTCTTTTTCTAAACCAGGGGTTGGCAAACTATGGCCCATGGATCAAATGCAGTTTTTGGAAATAAAGTTTTGGAGCACAGCCATGTCCATTTGTTTATATGTTGTCCATGGCTGCTTTTGTGCTATAACACGAGTTGAGTAGTTTCGACAGCAACTGTATGGTCCAAAACCTAAAATATTTACTATCTGGCCCTACACAGAAAATGTTACCAATCTCTGCTCTAGGTAATTCTGCTGCATGCTAAAGTTTGATGACCACTGTTCTCAAATTCATATTTGGGTATGACTGCTTACAGGCAATATTAGAAAAGTACATGTAAAAGTTATTTCTTAATAGCAAAGTACAAGACTGGCTGGTTAGCTCAGTTAGAGCACAGCCTTATAACACCAAGATCATGGGTTTCCTTTAAGAAAAGTATATACAAATGAGGTTATCAGAGTTAGGAAAGGGGGAGGTGGGTAAGGGAGGAATTGGTAAAAGGCCATAGAAAACGATCAGATTGTATAATCCTGATTTGAGCATCACATATTGCACATAGGTATTGATATTCAACTCTGTACCCCACAGATATGTACAATCATCTATGTTACAATTAAAAAAAAGTATACACAGTATAATTCCATTTGAAAATATGCTCATAGATAAATGCACATATGCTGAAAAGATGAGCAAGATACCCACAAAAACACAAACGTTATCTAGGTGATGAGGTCATGGGTAATTTTTCTTGGTGTTTTTTCCCTAAAATGAACTTGCATTCCTTTATAATAGTTATTTTTATTTTTATTTATTTATTTTTTTGTCCTTTTTGAGACCAGCCGCACCGCGCTCAGCCAGTGAGCGCTGTGAGAGCACCGGTCATCCCTATATAGGATCCGAACCCGCAGTGGGAGCGCTGCTGCGCTCCCAGCGCTGCATTCTCCCAAGTGCGCCACGGGCTCGGCCCTTATTTTTATTTTTTTTAAAGCACCTTTAGAAAGAGTGCGTTCCTGATCCTCCAATGGCATGATCAATCAACATCTCTATTTCTTCTCATTCAACTTGTACCTCACCAGGCGCCCAGGCTCTGAGACTTCCCTCTCTGCCCTGCCCCCACATTCCTTATAAGGTATCTTGCATTATCCTCTTTTCCTAGCTTAGCCATGAGCCCTTGGTAAGGGCACGGTCTCTGGAACCAGCAGACCTTGGTTAAATACCTACACCTTTATCTACTGTGTTGTCTTGGGCAAATTATTCTGGGCTTCAGTCTATTTATAAAATCAGGTTAAAATCACCCTCTTTGTAAAGAACCATTGGAGGAGCTAATTAGAATGCAGATTCCTACCCTGCACACCTCCAGTTGAGATTCAGCATGTCTAAGTTGTGGCCCAAGATTCTGCATTATAAACAGGTACCTGGGTGATTCTGTGTAGACCTGGGTCTGCAGAAATAATGGTGTTAGAATTATAGGTATAAATGTAAAGTGCCTGTTACATATATACACAGTAGATATTTAACAAATGGAGCCATATTTCTTCTAAAGGCCTTGTTTCAGAGTAATTTTGCACATGGTACCATGGCAAGTCAGGGCATATGTACAGCCAAGACCCAGTTCTTATGACTCTGCATCTAAGTTTCTCTGTGCCTCAGGACACTATGGTGGCACTCATCTGGTTATCTGTCAGTGCAGGTTTCCTGTGGGTGAGAAGCTGGACTCCTGGCTGATTCCTCATTTCAGAACTTTGGCTGTGGCCACAACAGCTTTCCCTAACCTTAGGCTGCCCTCTCGCTCCCTTTTCAGGCTGAAATGCTAGGGTAGACCCGTTCAGGGGTAGAAAACAGAGTACCAGCTAACATTTCTGGAGCACTTCACATCCACCCTCTGGGGTGGGCAGTAATAGTCCCAATTTACAGATGAGGAAATGAAGGCTTCAAGTGGCACAGTGAGATGTGAACCTGGGCTCTCTCTGCCATCCGCTTCCTCCCACCTTCTGTCCTGTCACACAGGAAGTGTTAAATCTCCATCACGCTTTACATGGGACAGAGAACTGATCTATATAACAATTTAAGACTTCATGATGGAGTTTTACTATTTTTTGTTTTGTTTTGTTTTGAAGGGGAGTTTTGAGGATATTACTAACCTTACAGTGCTGCCACTCACAGCTCATCATCCATAAGTGGGACTTTAAACCCAGGGGTCCTTCCAGTCCACAGGCCTCCCCCTCCTCCCCCCGCCCCCAAGAGAAGCTGAGCAGGGTAAGTCCAGTCTCTTAGATCACATAGATCCTGGGACTAAGTACAAATGCGAGATGCTGTGGCTAGGTCACCCCAAAAGATTGCTCTACTGTACCTAGAGACCAAGCCTCATATCATCCTAGGATGTAGGCGTAAGAGGGAAAAGGAGTCACTCTGTCTCTAAGCCTCTGTTCTTCCTTTTAAGATTTACTCCCTCTGTTCTCATTGTCCCAGCCTTGTTCAACACCCTGGCTTCCCCCCACCTAACCGACTACAATTGCTTCTGGAGGGGCTTCTGCATAGTATCCCCAGCCCTTCCTTTCTTGTGCCCCCAATGTATCAGAGGCAGCACAGCAGAGTGGTTAAGAGCTTATGCTGCACCTCCCCATAATCTCAATCTCATCCAGTCTCCAACCACTACCACTGTTTTCTGATCACCCTCTTTGTAGCCCAATTGCAAATGGAACCTACAATTCTTTAACCCTCCAACTATTTTACTATCCCTCATTCCCTCCCTTACCCAGCCCAGATTCCACAAACCATCTTTCTGATCACTTCTTGCACATACTTGGACTTCCATCTTTTTCTCCACTGATATTACCTGGCTAAATTTGAATCCTGGTTAAACCCAACTCCCCATCTGCTCTGTGCATGCACCTAAGCAACTGTTGCTGGACAAAAGTACAAGGCTGACTGGTCTCACTTAAAACCCAAGAGCACTACCTCAAATGGGCCCTAGTACCACCCACCCAGCAACCCTACTACACCTGTCAGGTCCATCACCTACTCTTCCACTCTCCTACAAGATCTTTCACATGATTCTAAATATTTACCGGGTGGGTGACTGATCTCAGATTCCTACCAGTAGAAAAATGGGGAAAATCGCACAGATGTATCTCATAGTGCTCTTGTAAAAACTGAGTGATATGTGATCAAGTGCTTAGCACAGATTCGGACATATAGAAATCAGAGAATGTTATGTCTCATTATTATCACCATTTCCCCAAAGCAGGGCTCCACTCAAATTTCTTCCCTGGTTGAGGATCTATTGTGAAACAATTATCCCCAATTTATAGAGGAGTAAACAGAGGCTTAGAGATCAGTAATTTTTCTTTTTTCTTTTTTTTTCTATTTAAAAGATGACCGGCAAGGGGATTTTAACCCTTGACTTGGTGTTGTCAGCACCATGCTCTCCCAAGTGAGCCACGGGCTGGCCCTAAGATCAGTAATTTTTCTTTTTTCTTTTTTTTTCTATTTAAAAGATGACCGGCAAGGGGATTTTAACCCTTGACTTGGTGTTGTCAGCACCATGCTCTCCCAAGTGAGCCAACCGGCCATCCCTATGTAGGGATCCGAACCCGTGGCCTTGGTGCTATCAGCACCGCACTCTCCCAAGTGAGCCACGGGCTGGCCCTAAGATCAGTAATTTTTCTTTTTTCTTTTTTTTCTATTTAAAAGATGACCGGCAAGGGGATTTTAACCCTTGACTTGGTGTTGTCAGCACCATGCTCTCCCAAGTGAGCCAACCGGCCATCCCTATGTAGGGATCCGAACCCGTGGCCTTGGTGCTATCAGCACCGCACTCTCCCAAGTGAGCCACGGGCTGGCCCTAAGATCAGTAATTTTTCTGAAGTCACATGGCTTATGAACAAAGTTGGGATTTGAACCCAGAACTGTCTGAACTGAAGCCTGAGCCCTTAGCTTCCAAGCTCTGCTGCTTTACGACACCAAGTCCAACCTCCTGAATCTAGTTTAAGATTTTAAGTTCTTAAGTTCTATTTCCTAGTCAACCCTCCCCACCTTCTTATACCTCCCTCTCCTAGGAGACAATACAGAAAAGTGAGCTTTGGTCACTACCCCTTCAATGTGCCCCCTTGCCCGCTGCTATCTGGACTGTAGGCCTCCTCAGCCTGGGCTACCCCTCCCCTGCACCTGTCCCAAACTCTCCAACTCTCCTATACAATGCCTATCTCCTCAGTGAAATGCCACTGACGCCCAGAGATTCCTTCTTTCTCTGAACTCCTCCAGTACCAAGCCTGTCCCTTACGGCTTCATCACAAAGACTGGAGCTTTTGCCCCTCCCCACTCAGTGTCTCTTAAAGAGGAGGTAGGAGCTCAATCGATAACCTCACTGAATCAGAGTCAGAAGGAAAGCACTGTGTTGGAAAGTGGAAACCCTCCAGTTTCCATCAGGGAGCAGGGTAGGGGTAGGGTGGGGCCTGTTTCCCATCCACCGTAGCAAACCAGTCTCTCACTATACCAGCAGGCCAGGTCTCAGCTGCTGGGCAAGCTTTGTGGCTATCACTGGTACTGAGAGTTAGCAAAGAAAGGAGAGAGAGAGAGAGAGAGAGAGAGAGAGAGAGAGAGAGAGAGAGAGAGAGAGAGAGAGAGTGTGTGTGTGTGTGTGTGTGTGTGTGTGAAGGGGGGAGGAGAAAGACATCTTACTGACAACCAGCTATCTCTGGAGGTAAAGAGCTTTCTTTGTGTGTGTGTGTGTGTGTGTGTGTATGTGTGTGAGAGAGAGAGAGAGAGAGAGAGAGAGAGAGAGAGAGAGAGAGAGAGAGTGTGTGTGTGTGTGTGTGTGTGTGAAGGGGGGAGGAGAAAGACATCTTACTGACAACCAGCTATCTCTGGAGGTATTCTGGACGTGGCAAAAAGCTAACATTGGGGCTATCCTTGACCTTTAATTCCCAAAGTTGAAGAGGTTGTCCTTTGACATAAACTCAGTCTCCAGTCTAAAATTCCGTTATACAGATAGGAAACTGAAGCTCTACTACAGAAGCTGGGTCACTGTAAGTTCATGGGTGTTCATTTTAGTCTTCCTTAAACTGTACATATAAATTTTGTTTATATACTTCATAATAATAATTAATAAGCACTTAAGGAAGTTGAATGACTTTCTTAAGGTTACACAGTGGAGAAAATCCTTGGATTCCCAAACCAGGGTAAGGTTGAATTGTCCAAAAGAATAGAAATTGGCACATTGTGGTAGTTAAGGGCATGGGCTTGGGGTCAGACAGACCTGTGTCTGAATCTGGGCTGCCTTTTCCTGGCCATCTGAATTTGAGCAAATTACTAAACATTTCTGGGCCTCACTTTCTCCATCTGTAAAACAAGGACAAAAATACCTAGCTCACTGTATCATGAGATGTAAATGAGAAATTAAATGCCATATAACATATTTAGCATGAGACCTAGGATAAACCTTATTTCATTGACTCCAAGATCCCAACAACTGTAAGATGCATTCTTATTTCAGAGAATATGTCCATCTTAGAACTGATGAAATATGGTAATAAATACTCAATATATGGCCGTTGTCATCATCATCATCATCAGTATCACAAATGAAGGAAATCTGCTCCTACGATCCTAACAAGGGACGAGGAGAAAGTCCACTTTGTGAGGTAGCAATTTTTGCTTGCCCTGCCCCTCAATAAGGCCCTGGGCTTGGGCCTCCAGACCTACCTTTCTTTCCATTGTTAGAGGGTGTAGACTTCCCACTGTCCGAGTTCAGCTCAAACACCCGTAAGTCTGTGGGCATCTCTTCCCTCAGAGTCTCTACTCTGGCTGGAGGCCTGGGCTCTGGGCCACTGGGGCGGCCAGCAGAGGTTAGGGGCTTGGAGTGAATTGTGGGTGGGGGTCCAGTCTCGCCCACATCCACAGCTTGGCCCTGTTCCTCCAAAGATGCCTCTTGCAGCTTTTGGGACAGGTCCTTGGGCAGCACTGGTGCCGCAGGTGTGGTGGCAGCGTTGGCAATCTGTGTCACAAGAGAGATGCTTTCGCTGCTCTCTGATGGAGTCACCTCTGTTGGGGGCTCAACTGGGGTCACCAGATTCTCTTCACAGGGGCTCTGGGGGCCAAGTGCTCCTTCAGGGAATGTGGAAGTTTTGGCCACAGTAATCTTTGTCTCTTTTGGAGATGTGGGTGAAATGCCTACAAGCTCTTCTGTAGAGAGAGAGAAAGGTAAAGGTAGGGAAAAGAGGGGAATGTATCCTGGACAGCCCCAACACAATCCTGGAGCTCTCAGGTTCCTGCCAAAGTTTACTCTGATCAAGAATAAATAGCACCATTTTTCTCATCCCTTCCCCATCATGGTTATTCTGCAGACACTCCCTGCTAGCCACAGTCCTGCCTACCTATGGGGCCTAATGCCTGGTGGGCTTCCAGCAACCCATTCCAAGATGGTGTTATAGATTAAAAAGCCAAGGCTAGGACTGGCCAGTTAGCTCACTTGGTTAGAACGTGGGGCTGATAACATAAAGGTCAAGGATTTGGATCCCTTACTGGCCAATCGCCCCCCCTTTTTTTTTTTTTTCCTTTTTGTCTTTTTTACTGACCGGTAATGGGATCGCAACCCTCGGTGTCGCGCCCATACCGGGGACCGGCAATGGGATTGCAACCCTCGGTGTTGCGCCCGCGCCGAGCTCAGCCAGTGAGCGGGAACCGGTCACCACATGGGATCCGAACCCTCGGTGGGAGCGCCGCTGCGCCCCCAAGTGGCGCACTCTCCAGTGCGCCACCGGGCCGGCCCTGCCCCACCTTTAAAAAAAAAAAAAAAAAAAAAAAA